GATGTTTTTATATTTTTTATTTAATAATAATCACATAATGTATTTAATAAATTTATAGAAAAGGTTTAAAGTCAGCCAGTGACATGTGAATTCAATTCCAGTCCTACTAGCTTAAGCTTTTGGGTTTGAGGTTTAAATCTAATAGGTATGCATTGTGCGTTCCTTGTGAACTACCACTGACCTAGTTTTCCCACAAAAGCTAGGTAGGGGGTGTGCTTGTGTGGCCTAACTAGCTAAAGCATTTCTAAATCAGATAAAAAGAGAGATCTTGTGGGGTGCGAAACAACCAACATTTAGACTAAGAATTTCTGATCCAGCCCATGTGAAGAACCAAAAGGATTTTTCGGTTCACTTTTCTTTTATATTCTTTACTAATAATGATATATGTATCAAAATTTAGAATCGAATAATATGATACAAGTTATATTATTTAAAATATTAACAAATATATTATACATTATTTAATAGTTAATTGTTTAAATTTTTTTGAGATTTATAATATTATATGCATCAATTTATTCAATAATAATTTTAAACTTTGATCCTAAATTTTCACTTTTCATATCATTACTTATTCTTTACTCATCTCAAACTATACAAGCTTATCAATTTAAAAATAAATAAAAATAAAATTTATAAAAATTGAGATTAAATTTTAAAAAAACTCGATCTTTCAAGTATTTCATATATATATCTGTTAAACTTTGAATTTTACAAAATAATATCATATTTTGAATGCCACCATCTGATTTACTCATCAATTTCGAAATGCAAATCCTAAACAAACAAACAGTTACAAATATTCAATTAAAGTTTTAAAAAATGCTAATAAATCTTGCATGGGTCCAGAATCATACTTAAGGCGTAGGTGTTTAGCAAACACCAACTAATTTTATTATTGTTTTATTACTTTTCACGAAAAAAAAAGCCATTTTTCTTTAATCATGCTTAAAGCCTCAAGGTGACCAAAAAAACTCTACTTAATTCCTTTGCTCAATATTTTTATTCTACAAAACAAAACTCTATTGTTTTATTACTTCTCACGAAAAAATAAAAAGAAGCCATTTTTCTTTAATCATGCTTAAGGCCTCAAGGTGACCAAAAAAACTCTACTTAATACCTTTGCTCAATATTTTTATTCTACAAAACAAAACTCTACTTAAGATGACAAAAAAAAAAAAAAAACAAAACAAAATTATACAAACTCTACTTATAAAATATACATATTTAGTGACA